CCCACACTCCGTGATCGACTTAAAAACAGATGCCATCCACCAATGATAATGAGGTCTACACAGAGGCAGGCAAGACTTGCATTAAGTATACAGATAATTATGTTTGGGGGGTTTATGTGGACAAAAAGGTTTGCTGACAGGAACGAGTACAAATTTTGGGTAAAAACACAACTTTGCAAGCAGCTATGCCCTGGATTATTAAATTGCTTCTTGATATAAGATGGCTTTGGTGGCCTTGGTACTAAGCTGGAACCTGGCCGTGGATGGCCTGAGAAGAATATAAGCCTATCCAAAGACTTTCCTCTATTGGTAGTGCGAATAATTAACTGTCGTTTCGTAAGATGGATTATCTTCTAGAGCTTTTACTGCAAACGGTGGGAATTATGTAGATAAAGGCAAATGTGAAGTTGAGTCTGAATTTGGACACAGCAAACTTGAACTAGCATTGAGAATATATAACCTTATGAAGAGACAGCTGGTCTTCATAATTTTTTTAACTATAGTGGGCACATGAAAAATAAGGATTTTATAACCGTTTTACTGAAATTTCATGGAACTTATATGAGGCCGGTGTGCTAACTGCTTCTACATTGACTTAAAATACGTCTAATATTTTGTCTAAAAGACCAAATGTGCTTCTTGGTTTTCATGACAAAGTTCCCAGAATGGTATTGTAGTCTCCTTAACAGGAGTTTATGCTTATAATTCGCAGACTTTTTTCATACACCCTCACCCTCAGAAGTCCTGCTTCTAGTTTTCGATAGCCCCTGCTTATTATACGTCAACGACCTGTTTTTACTGTTTCTAAATTACTGATTCTTGTTCATACAAAAAATGCAGTGCTCACAGAACCACGCTTCCTTCCATGAACCCGCCCGAAACAGCACATGCATTTTCTAATGGCACGAATCAAAAAGTGACGGTCGGCAGTTACATAGCGATGCAAAAACTTCTTCCATTTCGGCAATGTTTTCAATATCTTCAAAAAACACTCACAACATTTTTTCGTTCACTCCTCCACTTGATTTCTGTATTTCATTCGGTTCCAGACAAATCTAGTTCGTTCATCACGCACCCTGTGGTACGCCGTTCAGTTGTAAAACTTCCATCTTTCCAGTCTTAGACAAACAAAGCAGGTGTCATTGAAGCGTAAGATGGTTAAACGGGATGCAGCAATGGGCTCCGATCCTTTCACCGAAGTATTCATATTCCTCATTAACACAGTCATCCCGATAAACAATATAACGTGTTATACTCAAGTTTTGAGTAAATGGCAGTCAAGATACGTGTCGTAAAACCACAAAGGGGATGATCAGTGCATCGGCGTATGCAGTATTCTAAATATTATTCGAAGGTCAGGGCAAATCAAATGAAGAGAGCTTAAAGACTCGAATCGGCTTTTTCTATACTTCCAACTGTCAGCAAGCAGCCACATATACCACTTTGTTGTATAGAAGTAAATCCGCCTTTGTTAGCATATCTGAATAACAGCTGGGGGCATGTAGACGAATCCAATTATCTTAAGTATTCCTTTATGCCCTGTGCCTAGAGCTAATATTCGTCAGGAATGGAATTCGTATTAACGGTTGCTTACCGTCATAGATGGGCTAAGAATCTGGCGAATTAATGCACTCAGCTGAAGCATGCATAAATGGCCATTTATGTGGATTTTATTTAGATATGGAAAAGAGCATATCCAAGCCCAACGACATGAAACACCTTAGGCTACGCATAATGATATAACAGGTATCGAATCATCAAATCTTTATTTCCAGCAGGACGGAAGTGAACTGTTAGTTTCGAATTTGCAATACATCTGGTGAGAATTGAGAAAAAGAGACGAGAAAAGCTTGGTTTCTTAAAGAACCTCGAAATTTGTAATCCTGTTCCTTGGGATGTCAGTTTGTCAAAAAAAACTAAAAATATATATTCATATTCGGTATTTTTCACTTTATACAAACATTCGATTTATTCAGACTGTTCTTGTGTATTAAAAGGGCGAGCTATATTCCTATTAAGCACCATTGCTGCAGTTTCGTCGGTTCCGGGCCCTGATTTCGCTGCTTTACCGTGTGTGGCACGTTTTGTCGTTCCTTGCTCAGGCTACTGAAATAATAATTCCACTGTTCGATAATTCTTCTTCTCAAAATATTTACAACTTTCCCCATCGTTTTTCGCATATTTTTGGACGCACCCTAGAGTTCAGACAGAAAAAGGTATTCAACTATATCTTCATACGAATTCGCGTTCGTACATCTGGAACTTCCCAAATTCGACGTATATAAATCAGGGATATTAAGAAAATATTTCACCAAGGGCACATAAAAATGATATGACCCCTTATCAAAAAGGTTCCCTAACACGTAAGTTATGTTAAATGGCTTTCAGTAGAAAATTTTGGATGATAATTAAGTGAATTTATAAGTGAACAGACGTTCCACGGACTTTTCGGAAAGCAATTATACGTGCGTGTCACCACATTAGTTCACACCCCTTTTAAATGTTACAAAAGACTGGATCTAATTCAAGAATAACTTCAAATATTATATAACCAAGAAGAATTAAAAAAACTCACACCAGAAACAAACACTCTCCCGCATTCTGATGGAGAGTTGTCGATGCACATAACATCGCCTGCATGACCATGAAAGCTCTGGATCATCTGTCCGGACTCAACATCCCACAGGATACATGAACTGTCTCCACTTCCAGTTAAGAGCTGGTGGTCGGACATGTTGAATAGGCAGCATGATAAGTAAGAGCTATGTGTGGCGACTAACTTCTTTCTTACGACGGGGTCCTCTTCCGGGGTCAAGGGATAAACCGTGCATTTATTATCAAGGCCGCTAGAGGTGTACAATTAGAAAAACACAGACTAACCCACAAGCCACAACAGCGTTTGATGGACTGAAGGAGCAAGCCATTACCCATGTTGTTGGCATTGAGATACAAAATTCCTTCGTTGATGAAAAGGCATCCCACACCAGAAGTTTGCCATCCTAAAGCACGGTTGAATTAATGTTTTTTTACTTGTGATGAGCTGACAACATGCCTTTTGTCGAGAGACCAGGCAAGACCGAGGACTTTACCCTGGTGGCCCTTTAAAATTCGTCGTACTTTCACGTTAAGTGCGGGAACAGCTTCGAAATGCTGGCTCATAAAAGTAACTTATACATTAGTAATAGTTTATAACCCACTTTCTCCATCGGTCATCTTACTGCGATCTTCTTCAAGTTTTCTTTTAAGAGCATCGACCTCGTGCTGTAGACGACTATCTGAATTCTCGTCCATTTGACTAAATTGAAAAATTCAACTACGCCTTCGGCCATATGGACTCTCAAAGTGGAACATATTAACAATCGGCGTTAATGCATTTGGTTTCATATGCGGTTCACAACACCTTGATAAATGCTTCAGTAAATTCACCTTTTCAAAATTATGTGAAGCTTTTTTGCCGGTCTCAACCAATGCTGCATTATTTTTTTATTAACGATTCTGCTAGTAAGCCATATATGTCAGCAGTTTGGACTACACACTACTCGAACAGAAAAATTTGACTTTCCTCAAAACTTATTTACTAACTCAGAATGTTTATGGAATGGTTGACTAGGGTTTTGTCAAGCCAAAATGAGTTGAACTAGTAGGAGGTCAAAGTAGACCGACTCGACTCATAATAGTAGACGTTAGTGGATTCTAAATATATGAGCTTGAGCTCAAGTCCGTGTACTACAAAAACGTATAAAAATTTGACTTTTTACATACCTCTTCAAAGGCATTGAAATTGCTAGAAAATAAGCACGCTGGAAGCGAAAATGTGAGGGACAGAAGAAGAAAGAAAGAAAGAAAAATAACCAGACGTCTGTGCATCCATCATTTCTCCTTCATCTCAGAGCCGAGCAAACGGGCTAAGTCAGTCTACGCGAAGGTTAATGCCATCAATCGTTCTGGCGTCTCTAGTACCGATCGTACCTTCCACGTCTGCGACACCCTGAGTGGCAGAACTTTCTTGATTGACACTGGCGCACAACTAAGTGTATTCCTCTTTCTGCAACCGACCGTTT